TCCCACTTGTCTCCCAGTAAGCTCTGGATGCTCTGAGTGCTTGGCCGTATGATTTCACACTTGTCTCCCATTTGTCTCCCATTTGTCTCCGAGTAAGCTCTGGATGCTCTGAGTGCTCTGGCCGCATGATTTCACACTTGTCTCCCACTTGTCTCCCAGTAAGCTCTGGATGAACTGAGTGCTCTGGCCGCATGATTTTATACTTGTGTCCCATTTGTTTCCCACTTGTCTCCCAGTAAGCTCTGGATGCTCTGAGTGCTCTGGCCGCATGATTTCACACTTGTCTCCCAGTAAGCTCTGGATGCTCTGAGTGCTCTGGCATGTTTTTTGCTTGTGTCCCATTTGTCTCCCACTTGTCTCCCAGTAAGCTCTGGATGCTCTGAGTGCTCTGGCCGCATGATTTCACACTTGTCTCCCACATGTCTCGACTTGGCTCCCAGTAAGCTCACTTGTCTTCCACTTGTTTCCCATGGCCTGTCTGGATGCTTTGTATCCCCGGGCTTGGCTGGATGCTGGGCCGATTTTCACCACAAGCGTTGCATTGCTCGATTTGCTGTTTAGGTTGGCAGCTATTTTCGTGCGGATGATCAACGAAGCAATCACACACTCTTACGTCAAGTGTTGCGACCTATGGCAAACACAGGTCAATGCAATACATGGCTAAGCCAAAGAAGGCAACTGCGTAGGAAGGAAAAAGCCAAGCGCAGTGTCCGTGCTCTGAGGAAATCTTCATTTTGATTGGGTCTGCGCATTCGTGTTTACAAGGGGGGCAACATATGTCACAACATGGATCCATAAATTTCATGTTTTAGCCCTTGTACGGCGTCCCATTGTAAAGTCAATGAAAAATAGAATTTTAATACTTTCCCTTTGAATCTTGTATGTGCGTCTACATGGTGGACTATAGTTTTCTTCCTCTAGGAAATACTGCTGGCCATATTGTTCGGAGATCTCATTTTTGAACATTGCTCTGTTTGGGGTCTACGCTGGTATAATTTAGTTGTTTATGCATTTACTTATTCTTTTGCGAAAGTTTTTTCGTAGAAAAGCATCTGTAGAACTCTCATCTACATCTTCACATCTGCGCATCGACATTTGCACATCTACGGCTCTGCTCATCTTCACATCTGCACATCTACATCTCTGCTCACCTTCACATCTTCACATCTGCACATCTACATTTGCACATCTACATCTCTGCTCATCTTCACATCTGCACATCTACATCTCTGCTCATCTTCACATCTGCACATCTACATCTCTGCTCATCTTCACATCTGCACATCTTCACATCTACATCGTCACATCTTCACATCTGCCCATCTACATCTTCACATCTCCACATCTGCAGCGCATCTCACATTCGAGAACGCGAAATGCAGGTGAGATTGCGTTTTGGATTGGTCCCGCGCAACCCTCTGCGGAGATCGTGCGTGTCGAGGGCGCGAAATGCAGGTGAGACTGCGTTTTGGATTGGTCGCGCGCCTCTGCGGAGATCGCGCGTGTCGAGGGCGCGAAATGCAGGTGAGATTGCGTTTTGAATTGGTCGCGCTTCACTTTTGGAGGAAGTCTCGTACGAAACGCTCGGTTTGGAGACTTGGCGCTTCCCTTTTGGAGGAAGTCTCGTACGAAACGCTCGTTTTGGAGACTTGGCGCTTCACTTTTGGAGGAAGTCTCGTACGAAACGCTCGTTTTGGAGACTTGGCAGTTCACTTTTGGAGGAAGTCTTGTACGAAACGCTCGTTTTGGAGACTTGGCACTTCACTTTTGGAGGAAGTCTCGTACGAAACGCTCATTTTGGAGACTTGGCGCTTCACTTGTGAAGATGGACTCAGACCTGGCCAGTTTGTAGTGCAATTGTAGTGCGGGAAAGAGCTTTTCGGAGCTGAGAAGTGGCCGGTTTGTAGTGCACATGTAGTGCGGGAAAGAGCTTTTCGGAGCTGGACTCAGACCTGGCCAGTTTGTAGTGCAAATGCAGTACGGGAAAGAGCTTTTTGGAGCTGGACTCAGAAGTGGCCAGTTTGTAGTACAAATGTAGCCCGGGAAAGAGCCTTTCGGAGCTGGACTCAGAAGTGGCCAGTTTGTAGTGCAAATGTAGTGCGGGAAACAGCGTTGCGGAGCTGGACTCAGACCTGGCCAGTTTGTAGTGCAAATGTTGTGCGGGAAAGAGCTTTTTGGAGCTGGACTCAGAAGTGGCCAGTTTGTAGTGCAAATGTAGTGCGGGAAACAGCGTTGCGGAGCTGGACTCAGACCTGGCCGTGAAATTACGTCCGCGATGTCGCAGTGCCATGTGGATTTGCGTGGCCTTGGTGGGAAGCCTTGGTGGGAAGTTTGCGTGGCGCCGTGCTAGTGGGGAGCGCGAAACATGCTGGTGTAAACGCGGCCTGTCGCTGGTGAGCGGGATGATTGGCGGTGTCGCGTGATAGGATTGCTTCTAGTGTGTGGGCAGACCGTGTGGCGAAATTCCGTGCTGTCGCAGCCATGCGTAAACGCGGCGTGTTGCTGGTGAGCGGGATGATTGGGGGTATTGCTTGTAGTGTGTGGGCAGAACGTGTGGCGAAATTACGTTCGTGATGTCGCAGTGCCATGCGGATTTGCGCGGCCTTGGTGGAAAGTGCGTTTGCGTGGCGCTGTGCCACTGGGGAGCACGAAACATGCTGGTGTAAACGCAGCGTGTCGCTGGTGAGCGGGATGATTGGCGGTATCGTGTAATAGGATTGCTTGTAGTGTGTGGGCAGACCGTGTGGCGAAATTACGTCCGTGATGTCACAGTACCATGCCTTGGTGGGAAGTGCGTTTGCGTGGCGCCGTGCCACTAGGGAGCGCGAAACACGCTGGTGTAAACGCGGCGTGTCGCTGGCGAGTGGGATGACTGGCGGTCTCGCGTGATATGATTGCTTCTAGTGTGTGGGCAGACCGTGTGGCGAGTTATGTTCGTGATGTGGCAATGTCATGCGGATTTGCGAGGTCTCTGTGGGAAGTGCGTTTGCGTGGCGCCGTGCCACTGGGGAGCGCGAAACATGCTGGTGTAAACGCAGCATGTCGCTGGTGAGCGGGATGATTGGCGGTATCGTGCGATAGGATTGCTTCTAGTGTGTGGGCAGACCGTGTGGCGAAATTAGGTCCGTGATGCTGTTGCAGTGCCATGTGGATTTGCGCGGCCTTGGTGGGAAGTGCGTTTGCGTGGCGCCGTGCCACTGGAGAGCGCGAAGCCGCGAAGCACGCTGGTGTAAGCGCGGCGTGTCGCTGGCGTGCAATAGATCAGTTTGGTTTGAACCTCTTCGGCGTTGTGCTTGCACAGCGAGAAATGCACCAAGGTTGGCGCTCCTGACCCACAACGTTGCGCTGCCATTGCATCTGCGCATCTACGTCTACACACTGTACATTTACATCTTCACACGCTCACATCCGCAGATCTACCTCTCTACCTCCACACACCCACGCATCTGCACATCCACACTGTCACTCCTTCACATCCGCCCTCTCGTTGTCTCTGTCTACATATCTTTCCCCTTACTATTTTAAATATAAATTTCTTCGCAACTTCTTACTCATCTCAGATTGTATCTTACTCATCTCAGACAACTCGATTTTAACTATTCTATTTCCTTACTCGGAATTGCTTGACAATCACCTTTCTTCGCTCTCGGGCCAAGCGTCGTCTAGTTTGCTAGGGCAGGGGGTAGGCCGCTAAGAGGCTAGCTTAAGAGTAGCTAGTAGTGAAGAAGAAAGGTAAGAAACTACTAAGCTATCCAGAAATTACTGTGGACGCAGGACAGCCCTAGTCATTTGGTTCCTAGATTTTGGGACGAAATTGAAATTGATGGCAGATTTTGCACTAGAACCAACTGAAGTCCTGGGATAGCTGAGGAGTTAACAGCATCCGCCGCAAGGCAGGTGTTCTCCTCCCCACTTGCTCCGCGAGAAGAACATAAGATGACTGCTAGGTTTCCTTGAACTTCTGCCTACATTTCCATTCCCAGCTCTAAGCCTGTCGCTTTGGTTTTTCCACTCTCCCTCTTGGAAAATTTTTAGCTGACAGGTCTCAGAGATGCTGTCTCCATATTTCTCGCGCCTTGGCACAAACTTCAAGGCTATTCAATCCGGCGCAGGGCGGTAGCCTGCACCGTACCACTTTGATTACTTAGCTGCAATCGATTTGCACAGAAACTGTCTAACAGATTCTCACAGTCCTTCGGGATCACCATTTGGTACTGCAGCTGACCCGCAAAGCATGCAGTCACTTCCGGATCAATAAGGTTTGCGCCTGTTGAGATCAATGGTGGATTCTTCTTTGACCTTTTCACTGTCGTGGCTTTTATTGACGCCCACCATACTGCAGCCGGGGCTGAACATTATATACTGCTCAGTTCTTTGAATGTGCTTTGTGTGATCACAACATTCTATATATCTTTGCCTTCTCAGGTGTCCCATCGAATGCTCAAAAGCGAATGTCTACAGACCAATGCGCGTGCAGATGTGATTGCCGAGTCACTCTCAGCTGCTCGGACAGATCGGGCCCAAGATGGCGGCTCCTCGCCACTCCATGCGGCTCCGCACTGAGGAGATAGAAGCGGCTCGCCACTCGTTTGCATTTAGCTGGGAGCAGGTGACCTACCACCCCTTGCTCCACTTAGCGATGGCAAGATCTGTTCTTTTTGCCCAGCTCAAACGTGTTGTGGTTTCTACACGTCTCTACAAAATCATGCTATGCAAAAGGGCTGGGGGTGAAGATGACTTCAAGAACACTTCAAAAGGACTGAACCAGTAGCTGAAAAAATGGCAACCCTTTGTTCATGTGAACGAATACCGAACACGACTTCTTGGCGATGTCGAACATGCTACTTTGAGAGGGCTCGTGATGTCGAAGCACCACGAGGGTGGAGGTTTATTGGAGGATGGCTCTGCAGCTCCATGGCAGAGGGGAGGTGAAGGTGTGCGAAGTGTCTTGGATTCTCTGAAAGGTGGTGAGATTTACTGATAGGTTCGGGGGCCAAGGGAGCTGCTGGCACGTCTTGGCAGTGCTGTTGTTGCTGAAAGTCACTGATTTCAGGATGGTGAGAAGAAGATTATGAGTGTAGTGCTCAAGCGGTTAAGATGCTCAAGTTGCCTTTAGCTTCAAAACTCGGAGGGCCTGGGAGGGGAGGTGAAGGAGTGCAAAGTGGTGTGGATAGTCAGCGGGCTGAGGCAGGTGCTGGCGTCGGAAAAAGCTGACCATCAGGTCCCACCGGTTTCGTTCCTCCCTTCTCAGGTCATGCGACCAGTGATAAGGCAGACAGATCAGGAAGGTAGGCAAGTGTGCGGTTGGCAGACAGGTGAGGAGATTCTTGTGCCGCAGCACTGCAGTGTCAGATTGAACATAACACGCCGCATGTTCAACATCGAAAACAAGCCAAAAACTCAAAAGTACACTGGGCCGAGCCAACAAACCTATATAATACTCTCAAGTTGAACAATCAACATTGAAAACCTAACTACTTCTTGCTTTTCATTTCTGCAAAACAACAATCAAACATATTAGTACCGTCGGAATCCTTGCCCATTGTGGGTGCTAAACGGCTCTAACATCTTTTTCCTTTCCTTTTTCACCTGCAAGGATCCTGGTAGCGATGGCCGAACGCTACGTTCGTAGCTTCGTCACTCTTCAAGTGAGTGCTCCGTTTTCGCCACTGATGCGATCAGCAACTGTTGACTGCGTACAACGGCATCGAAGTGTACTTTCGCCAGTTTCCTCTTGTACAGAACCAAAAAACCTTTGCAGCAGAAACAATCTTTACCTTTCTCACCCATCTGCAAAATATCTTTTCGGAAGAGTTGCTTGCATCATGCACAATTATCATCCTTTCCTTCAGGATGAAATGCGTTCACACCCTTATATAATTAACTGTCTTAACTATAGCCTTTTGCTTCGGGGGACATTCACCTACCTGGTTTGGGCTAAGGCAAGGTGATCTTTTTGCCGTGTACATTGCACCTTGTGAGGGGAGTGTCCATCCTATATGATCCACGCAACGGGCCAACATCTGCCGAAGGAGTGGGGCGCCGCTCTGCAGCCGAGCTGGTAGAGACATGCAAAGACCACATGTGGGTAAAATCTCAAGACCGATTGAATGCCACAGGTGGGGCACTGTGGACAATAATATTTAAGAAAGTTTGACGTGTCTGTGCGGCACCTTTCACCGGCCAGGCAACTGGCCCTGTTTTGAATGTTGACCCAAGTCAGGTTAAAGCACTTTTAATCGCTACCCCCACAAGATAACAAATACCTATTCCAATACAATTATGTTGTGAAACAAGCGGCTGAGGAAGGTGAGCAAATGTGCAGGTAGGTAGATCAGTGAGCCATGTTGGATGGAGTATGCTCGACTGAAATGTGAAATGAGGTTGGAACTAGGAGACTTGATCGGTAGGCAAGCACGTGCAACGGTTAGGTTAGCATGGGAAGTAGGTCGGATTTCGATCACTATCAACTTGCCCTGTTTACAGATCTAATGCAGCCACAAGAAACCTTAGCACCGACAAGCGTTGTGGTCTATTGCTATTCTTTTCTGCCAGCCGCTGGCTTTGCTAAGATCAGCTCTTGAAGGAGAATGGTCAGGGAGCCCTGGGATTTGTGGTGTGGAGGAAGCTGTGTAGTACAATGCCCTTTGTTACTAGTAGCTTCTTGTTACTATTTATTAGTAGGGCCAGGAGCCCCTAGTAGCGTCCTTGCTCCTAGTAGTAAGGCCAGGACCCCCTAGTAGTGTCCTTGCTCCTAGTAGTAAGCCAGGAGCCCCTAGTAGCGTCCTTGCTCCTAGCCAAAAAACCCTATTAGCTTCTTGTTACTAGTAGTAAGGCCAGGAGCTCCTAGTCCTAGTAGTAAGGCCAGGACCGCCTAGTAGCGTCCTTGCTCCTAGTAGTAAGGCCAGGAGCCCCTAGTAGCGTCCTTGCCTAGTAGTAAGGCCTGGAGCCCCTAGCAGCGTCCTTGCACCTAGTAGTAAGGCTGTAGTAGCTTCTTGCTACTAGTAGAAAGGCCAGGAGCTCCTAGTAGTCCTAGTAGCGTCCTTGCTCCTAGTAGTAAGGCCAGAAGCCCCTACTAGCGTCTTTGTTCCTAGTAGTAAGGCCAGGAGCCCCTAGCAGCGTGCTTGCTCCTAGTAGTAAGGCCCCTAGTAGCTTCTTGTTACTAGTAGTAAGGCCAGGTGCCCCTAGTAGCGTCCTTGCCCCTAGTAGCAAGGCCAGGAGCTCCTAGTAGCGTCCTTGCTCCGTTCGTAGCCATGCCAAATCACAGGGAGCGCAGGATATTCTGAGAATCCCAGCAAACGAAGTCATTCGGCCGCCTTCGCCCAAGGCATCGGAGCAGCACAAATTAGCAAGGCATCTCACCTGTGCTTAGAGACTCGATGGGAGGGTGGAGTCAGTGTGCTCGATATTTCAATTGGACAGGTCTTGTAAGATACCTCAAGAAGCTGGCTGTTGGCCGTGTTATTTATTGAACAAGTTGAACTCCATAATGTACTATTGACAGGGCTCTTGCCAACAGGTTCGCACCATGCAGCTGGCTGCGATGCTCTTTGAAACACAAAAGGACCGTGAAATCGACTTGCCGCAAATAGGTTGGAGGCAATCGCTTCTAGGGGCTCCTGGCCTTACTACTAGGAGCAAGAAGCTACTAGGTTGGAGGCCACTGCTATTAGGTTCCTTTTGCTATTGGAGGCCATCGCTAGTAGGCTGGAGGCTCGATGTTTCACGGTGAGTCGTGCGACGCTCGGGCAACCAGGATTTGGTGGCCAAATGGAAGCGCGAAGGCTTGGAGTCTTTTCAATCACGCGGTTTTGTGTTTGGGGAAGCCTTGAAGACCTTCAGATCAGTGCACCAAGGGGTGATCTCTGAGAAGGAAATGGAAGTTCCTTGGCCTGCAACTTTTGGTCTCTTTGGGTCCCACCGAGCACGAGACCTCATCAGGGTCAATGCTGGAATCTGCATGAGATTGCACGATGTGACAAGGAGCTGCTGCACCTCATCAAACATGGAATGGAGCAATCCGAATCATTGCTGAAGAAGAAGGCGTGTTGGTATTGTCCAATGACAATTAAAGTGAATCTGAGATATGTTTTGTTTGTGATCGCAAGTCATGAACTGCCAGGTAATGAACAATGGAGAGGCCGACATTGGAGGGACAGCTGAAGTCAACGAAGTGAGTCTTGAGAGAGAGAGAGAGAGAGCAAGGAGGCTACTAGGGGCTCCTGGCCTCGCTACTAGGAGCAAGGACGCTACTTACTAGGGGCTCCTGGCCGTACTACTAGGAGCAAGTAGCTACTAGTAACAAGAGAGAGAGAGAGAGAGAAAGAGAGTGATGCATTTGCCCCCTCCGCTTTGACAGGTTTCCCCAGCAGCTTCTCCGAGCAAGGCACCCGCCGTACACCCGGCTCCTGAATGAAGGAGTCGCTGGTATTTTTTGGGTGTCCCTCAAATTTTTGCGAAGAAGAACTCGAAGTTCTGCAAATCAGATGGACAGGTCTTGTCGAGAAGCGCATATATGTTTCAAAGCAAAACCTGATCCAATCAGTCACAGATTTTCAGAGCTTGAACAAGCACCTCGTCTTGATCCCTGCCAAAGGCAGTCAGTGATCCTTGGAATCTCTGGAATGCTCAGGCTAAATGTTCAACCTGGGGTCTATTTTCCTAAGTTCCATGAACTTTGTTAAGACATCGATGACCAAGCAGCTGCCAAGCAGCTTCTGGGTGGAAATGGTCAATTGTGCCATGCATGCCTGCGGTGCGTGATGATGCCCTGCAATGCAAACACCAGCGTTTACTCGCAGCCCTGTAAGTCTTCAAGCTTGCTTTCATGTCTTGCGGACTTGCCGTGATCCACAAGCATCTCTGAACATGCAAATGCAGCCAGGGCATGGGAGTTGAGCCAAGCAGCAAGAGGCTGGTTTGAGCCTGTTTGAGCAAACTAGCAAGAATCGCACAAGATTTGGCATTTTTTGTCAAGTCGTGTACCTTTGATGTTACAGGTTGCGGATCTCGGGAGCTGGAGGCAGAAAGAGATCTGAGAGAAGCTTCTATTGACTGGTCCTTTTGTCCTGGCCAGGTCGGCTGGTGATGGACATCGGCGCAAACTTCGGGCAGAGCAGTGCATGCCCCAGTCCTTGCCAAGCCCAAGTGGCACAAGCTGTCTTGGTTTCGGAGGCGAGCGCTACCTAGAAGCAGGTTTCAAGGCGCCGTTCGCTTTGTTCGTTTTGCTTGGCTTGAAGGATCCCGCCGCCAGGTGGTGGCTGTGGAGCCCAACCCTGTTGCTGCCCAGGTGAAAAAGCTCAGGAACCAAGAAGTTGTGAAACTAATTATTGAGGAAACCTCATGTATATTATAGTATAATCTAGGTTTCTATGCCCCTTTGTAAGCCTTGTATCCAGGATGAAAACCAATCCCGAAACCCTTTTGTACATCCTGGATTCAAGGCTTCTCATGGCTCATCCCCATAAATGGGAAACTGGATCTTGCCAAAGCGTCTCAATGAGCAGTTGGTTCTGTGCGGGCTCTTCTCACCATTTTTGCGGGTAGCCCATCAGCATATTGGTAGCCCGTATGCTTCGTACCTGTTCCAAGGCGATCCGAGCTCGTTTTGCTGATTTGATGAGCAACCACAAGCTGGTCTTGGAGGATGCATGACATGAATCAGCTTTCACAAAGTACATGTAGCAGCTACGTTTCCGACATTCGAGCTCATTCCAGAGGAGAAAGCTGTTTGGGACACCCCGGAAGCCCCTTTGCTGGACTTGCAGTTAAGTTACCAGATAGCTCTTGAGTGTTTTTTTGCATTCCACTTTCAAACTCCTTCAACCTATGCAATGCTCAGGTCAAGCTATACATCAACAAGGAGGACTCAGAGTGGAGCAGTGCGCAACCGGAACCATCTGTTTTGACAAGAAATCTGACGAGCGCTTTAGTCATTTCACTTTCCAACACCTGACTCAGTCGGCAGACGTGTGGACATGCAAACAGGTTGCTTCCATTCAGTAGGCTCGCGCTACGACACAGAGGTGCATGGCCAAATTAGCACAATTGAGTAGTCTTTTTGGGTGTGGCGTACACGGACTTCGCCTGGTCACTGCGTCATTTTTCCTTTTGCAGGCAGATGAACTAGATGTAGAATCAACGAGTCTGGCTGCTCCTGACTCAGCGGTGCCGAAAGCGTCGTTTGTGTCTTGTCATTTCGTCGCACATTTGCACAGAACCCCAAAAAGAGATGAACAAGGATCTGGAAGAGTTCTTGATGCCTGCGAACTCATATATACTCGCATGCCGATGACATGGTTTTCCCATTTTCGAGGCTCTTTTCAAGAAATATGGTACTCCGTGGTGATTTTCTTAGCTTGAAAATGCAGCTTCAAGATAGTTCTGGAGCTTGGCAGAAGTTCTCCCTGCATGCCTAGGTATTTGAAGCTTGATACAGAGGGAGCTGATGGTATAATCCTGCAGCAGGTGTGTGTGTGTGTGTGTAACCCTTGGAATCACAGGGATCCTTTCGGATTGTTTTGCTTTATTTTCGCTTTCAATTTTCAGCAGGGGGATGCCGGGCCGGGGATTTCCATGGTCGGCATCCAACGAAGACACCATGGATTTCCTGTGATATGAGTCAGGGACGCCTGACTCACGTACCTGCTTTTTCCTTGTACTGAATGGCATGAGGCTAAGCCCAGGACCTCAATAGCTGCAGACATGCACGGAACGCCGTCAACCTGTCGCCTCGTCGGTTCGTGGCCTTTAACTACAGGAACTCTGGTCCCCTTCACCTGGTTTTTCAGGATTTGGGTCTCTTAGGCCGGCGTGTGGCACCGCAATCAAGTCAGTACGCATATCCATGAGTGTGTTTGGCTTCGTGCCAACCCGGGATGAGCCCGCAGAGTGCCTCCCGTGGACCCGTCGAACGGGTGTACGTCGAACGTATCCACTGCCCGGATACAGAGCAGCTCGCAGCGAGCGTAGGTGGCCTAGGCCGTACGTACGATGATCTTTGTCTCATCTTTGGAATACCAAGCTGGCTCATGCCTTTACGTGACCGCAGCGGTCAAAGCAGCCAGCCATTTCGGCAAGGCACAAGGTGACCAGAGCGGTCAAAGCCAATTTTAGGTTCACTGGAACCTGTTGGAGCCTTAGTTTTTCAGTTGATCCTCCTCCTCTTGCCATGTTCCCTTCTCCGACTGGTCTCCACCCTGTGGACGGCAAGACTATTCTACATCGAGAGATTCTTCATCTACATTTTTTTTATTGATTCTCGCCATTTCCCTCCTACGCACCCGCTTCGCTATTCTCAACCCTTCGTTTATGGACCACATCACCTCACCACATATTCAGCTACAAATTCGAGGTCTGGACTCTGCGATTCGACAGGCGACCCAGGCTATCCACAATGGTGTGCACTATATCCAGGAACTCCTCACCACCTTTGGGATGATGCATGCCTTGAATTGCGACACTACTCAAGTTGATGCTGAACTACGTGGATGCTCGACCTTCCCTGACCCCCGCCTTCCATCTTTTCCTGCTTCTCCTTTGGGCCCGACTACGACTCGAAGTATGACGTCTACCAGTTCCATTCCGGCGGCATCACCGATTCCGCCACCGAGGACCCCTACCATTCTTACTCCGCATCGACCTGTGATTAATCGATCCAGTACAGCACCGTCTCGCTCTCGGTCTCACCCTCGTTTGAACTCCAGAAATCTCTAGATAACTCTGTCGCTCACTCTTCCAATCACGAGAGAGAAAATGTCCTTCCCTTTTATGTTTCTAACATGCTCCTGTGCCTAGAGACACTTCCTTACAACTCTACACATTTATTTCGTGTGGCTCTCAGCGTTCTCACGCCTATACCTCACCCCTTCGAGTTCGCACTCCTTACTCCTTTTCGCCGCCATGTCGATGCCACCCACGACGACCCCGACCAGACCTACGGGATTGGCCTCCATTGCTGGCCTACCTGCTGCTGCTCATGAGGTACTTCATCGTGAACTCCTTCACATACACTCTTCTTTACACTTGATTCTTCTGATCTTACGTGGACCTGGATTCCGTCACTCCCTCCATTGTGGACTCGATCACCTGCCCTTGCCACAGATTCGACGATCTACCTGTACTACATTGGTCTACGCCGATGCACTATGCTCCACTTTAGCATTTCCACATCCTATTGGCCAATCGGTTTCCTCTCCTCCATCCTTTTCTTCACCCAGACACTCGCTTATCCTCTTTCCCTCTCCTCCTTCTCCACCCGTGACGACGACGATGACTACGACCACGGATCCCTCTCCTCCTCTCCACCTTCAACCTTGACGAGGATGCCAAGTTCTCATTCGCCCTCTCGGTCACGATCTCCTCCGCGAAGATTCAGACTTTAGCCGATTTCTCACCCACCGAACCACTTAGTTTTTGCAGAGAAAAGCATTCCTTTTCCACTGCTTTCTGCTTCATGATTGATCACCCATTTTCATTTTGTCCTTCTGGTATCTCATTGACGTTACTCATTTCTCTTTTCCTATTGTACCTTCGGCTCGCTAGCGACTGCTCGTTTCGCTCCCGTGTTTCTTATTGCCTTTATTGCCTTTCCTGCCATGGCTTCGACATCTACACCACTTTGTGGTTTTGCACCGATTCCAGGTCTTCCCCCTCGTGCTCAGGCTATGCTACATCGTGAACTTCTACTTGTACATGTCCTTCTGGCCCAGGTCCATGCATTACTCCACATCCCACTCAGCATTCGCACTATTCCGTTCATGTCTCGGGTGACACACCCACAACTTCGAGCTCACCTTGAAGGCTTGGACAATACGCTCCTCCTCGCTCTTCGTCTCAACCACACCGCTGTACACTACACCCATGAGCTCCTTACCGCCCTGGGCCTCCTTCATATTATTCAACAGAGCCCGGAACAACTTGAAGACGAACTTGAAGGCCGCACCGACTTTGGCGATCGGGCACCCCTCTCTACACAAACTGGTACACCTCACTCTACTACGACTTCATCGCGAACTACCAGGACCCACAACACCACTGCCCGGATGCCTATCTCTCCTAGTCCTCCGCCCTCTCGCCATGTACCACGACCTCGTCTTCACATACGCTCGAGATCTCGCTCTCGCCCTCGAATGACCAGATCTTATCTTCCTTTTCTTAGTTGTTAATCCTTTTGAGAGTAACGTTTTTGGGCGACTACCTGCCTCATGGCGAGCTCTGGTTCTTCTCCGGAATCCAATCGCCCTCATCGACGACATGATCTTGGTCGCGCCTCTCGTTCACCGGATACGATGCCTCACACGCACATCGAGGAAGTCGACTATGGTGCTGATGAAAACAATCCCCTACCATCCATCAACCCACCACCTGGCAGAGAGACAAGCGTAGGGCCCTGCCAGTAGAAAATATTCAGTTTCTTCTGTCACTTGTTTACTTTGTATTATTTACATCGCAACTCTTGCGTTGATTCACACTTGGCTCTGGATTTCCGATCTCACCTTTGTATTGCCCTCACCCTTACGCTATGAGTCGACCACCCTCCCCTACCCGGTCCCATCCACGTGGTCTCACCCATCCTCCTTGTGGCTTGGCTCCGACGGAGGGCATCCCCATGGTGGCACAGGCAGTTCTACATCGTGAACTTCTTCATGTACACGTTTCTTTGGCCCATATTCACTCTCTTCTTCACCAACCTCTTGCGATTTGTTCCACCCCACTCCTTGATCGGTTCAACCATCCACATCTTCGCGCTCAACTTCAGGGTCTGGACAACACTCTCCTCCTTGCCCTACGTGTCAATCACACTGCCGCGCACTATACACACGAACTCCTCACCGCCCTGGGTCTACTCCATATCCTGCATCACAGTTCAGAACAACTCGAAGATGAACTACAAGGTCGCAGAGCCTTTGCGGATCGCCCACCTCTTTCCGCCACATCGCTCTTCCCCACCTATTACGACTTCTTCTTCAATTACCAGATCAGGGGGCACTTCAGCTCGTGACCTACCTTCAGGAGTCCGGCCTCATTTCCTACCTGATGGGTGGCCTTGCAGAGACCCGCCTCAGCCCTGGACCTCAGCAACATTTATGGACCACACCTTTCTGGCGTCGCATCATCCTCATCATCCCCACCGGCACTCACAACCTTTGGATGGACATCCCCAACCACACTTTTCAGCCTTGGGATCGCCTTCTTCACCTCGTTGAAAATCATCGTCAAGCTCTCGTCGACTCGTGGATGATGACTCCCGCCCTTTCAGCTGGGAAGAATGCGAGCCCATGTACATTTGGATGGCATGTGCCAACGAAGACCCATCCAAGCTGCCGTGAAAACATACCTAACAGTCGGTGCCGTGGCTCATAAACACACACACATATATATATATACACACACACACACCTGTGCCGGCGCCGGCACTGTTTGGGAGAACCCCTGTCACGAAGATCCAGCTTCTTAGATTGATGGATGTGAGTAGTGATAGCTGCGCAATTGAGTCAAGGGCATCTTCAAGTGCAGGGTCTCTCCAAGCGCAGAAGAAGCAGGTCTCTTGGAGGTGACAATGTCTGGTGGTGATGAGGGGGAGGCGCCTAACAGTCGGTGCGGTG